TTTTGGAAGCAGAATTGTGAGAGGGAATGATTGATTGTTTCCTATATGCCAGGAGCTGTGCTGGGTGCCGTAAGTCTGCTATTATACTAATATCTCTCCTTTAAAATCTTCTGAGGTCGTGTTATTTCCATTTTCCACTTGGAGATATTAGGGCACAGGCTGATGAAGTAATTTTCTTAAAGCCACAGAGTAAGCAGAATTGTATTCAAACTCAGGCTGTGTAACTTCTCAGACTCATTCATTTAGCCAGTTCCATTTCCGCTCATCTTCAAATATTTTCCAGAATTCCATAAGTTGTCAAAGATGAGAGCAAGTCAACTTGAAAATCCTTTGGGCTGTTAGTTTGCTCGTCTTGCTTATATGCCAACGGACGCTGAAGGTGTCCAGCACATTGGTTTGTTCTTTCTAAGCTACTCACCACCATTGAATTGATACTGACTCATAGTGAGTCAGGGTAGAACTACCTGGGGGTTTCCAAGACTGTAATTTTTTATGGGAGTACAAAGCTGCATCTTTTGCCTGGCTGTTGGTTTTGAACAGCTGACTTTGTGGTTAGCAGCCCAACTCGTAACCACTATGCCACCAGGGTTCCTGGTTTATTCTTTAATTCTTCCATATACATACTTTATGAGTTTTTGCTCACTTTTTTTTTTTTTGCTGAGAATTTCCTTTGGGATAAACTCAGTGATTATACTTTAAGACAATTAAAATACTTTTAAAAGGTTAAATAGGTGAAATATTCTTTCAGTGATAAAACTATTGTATATGACCCTGTAATGGTGTATATGACATCATAAGTTGTCAAATCATAGGGAAGTACACAACACAAAAGGTGAATGTTACTGTAAACTATAGGCTTTATTTCATAACAAAAGCTCGGAAATTTAAAATTACCTCTTAAAACGCTTTTGCCATTACAGGGTCCTTTCTCATTAGCTTTTTGTCTTGTATCAAATAAAAGTTTCCTCAAACTATGTTTGTGAAAGTTGGATGTTGATAAGGAAGACGAAAGAAGAATTGATGTCTTTGAATTATGGTACTGGCAAAGAATATTGGAAGTAGCACGGACTATCAAAAGAACAGACAAATTGGAAGAAGTACAGCCAGAAGGCTCCTTCGAGACAAGGCTGGAGAGACTTCATCTCATGTACTTTGGACGTGTTGTCAGGAGAGACCAGTCCCTGGAGAAGGACACCATGTTTGGTCAAGTAGCAGGGCAGCAGCATGGAGGAAGACCCTGCAGGAGATGGACTGACACCGAGGCAGCCCTGATGGCTCAGACCCAAGAAGTGTGAGGATGGCACAGGACCGGGCAGTGTGTCCACAGGGTGACGCTGAGCTGGAACTGGCTCAACAGCAACTAACAACAACAAGACATGTCTTACGTTTTTTCTACTGTACCTGATTCTCAAGTCCCATCATCAAGCACGGCGATGAACCAAGAGGTAACTGCGATTGGTAAAGTATTAGGAGAGCTGCACGTTGAGAAGCAGAGGTTGGCTCTCGGCTCACTGTCACACCTAGCGCTTGGGAAACATCACTGTTTGAGGTCCACCCCTTTAGCTTGCCTTGAAAGAGGATCCGAGTTACGAGTGCCTAAAGTGAAAGATAGGTCCCTGGGTGATGGAGAGCGTTAACTTACATGCTGAGATGTCAACCAAGAGGTGGGAGGTTCCAGTCCATCCACATGTACCTTGGAAGAAAGGCCTGGCAAGCTAATTCTGGAAAAGTATCCACTGAAAACCCAATCGTGCATTAGTCCACCCTTGACACATATGGGGTTGCCATGAGTCCAAATTGACTCTCCAGCAACTGTAAAAAAGTGAGTGAAATGGGAGTCTCCAATTTTTTTTCCTTTTAATGGTAATCATAATTCTTTCTCCAGCATCTGCTCATGTGGAAATCCCAAGGATAATCCATCCGAAGGCACTACAGAGCCTGCTTACATTAGGGAAGGCAGAGCCGCCCCCTGACGGCTAGGCAGTATCAGCAAAAACAGAGTCCAAATCAATTGCGCATCACACTGGAGCCAGTGAAGGGCAGGGGCCACGCGAGCAGGTGCTCGGCTGCCTGGTGAATGGTCCATTTAAAGATCCAACAATAGTCAGAGGGGCCAAGGAGCGCAGCCACCACCGCCGTGATGAGCGAAAGCAGCTATTCCCCATGCAGGGTGGGTGCGTGCCCTGAGAAGGCACCCTGGACAGCAAATATGCACAGACTCGGGGCATCATGCGCTCCCCAACAATAGTATTTTAAAAGCCTGCTCTTCGGAAGAAAAGGGGTGGGGGGCTCACTGAGAGAACTCGTGTAACAAAAATCACTGCTTCTTCCATTTCAAATGTCATTTGCAAGACAAGTAGGACTTCTATCACTGCAGAACCAACAGATTCTCTTTCATAATTCTTTTTGAGGAGCAAATGTACGTGAACAAGCTTGAGGCGAAAACATGTTAAAGTGTATTTGCATCTAGATTTTTCCCAAGAAAATAATCAGAGAGTTTGCACAAAATCAAACGAACTTACTAAACTAGAAATTCAAATCAATGTGAACAGAAAGAGCCAGCCTCCTGTCTGAATGTGCCCTGTAAACGGTATTTTCTATTTACACAAGCAGCTCTATGGCGAATGTCATTAGGTCTCAGGTGCACACGCAGCCTACATGGCGAATAGCACCAGCGAGGCTCTTGGTAAAATGGTACAAAGTAAAAGATGTTTCCCAAGCCACGGTGCCTGCCCTCCGTTGATGCACGCTCCTGTAACTGTGGCTTAGGCGGACCACTGGAAAGCGAAGCAAATGTGCAAGGATATCTCTCCTTCCCCTGGAAAGAAGAAACGAAAGGAAGGAAGGAGGGCGGGAGGAAAATGCTTATAAGTAGGTGGGTCAAGGCAGCCAAAATGAAGGACAGGTGATTAGTGGGCAGTGTGAAATGAAGCAAAATGCAGAGCAGAAAAATATGAAGAGGGGGCGAGAATCCAAGGCTGCCTCTACAATCTATGCAGGTTTTTTTCAAATGTAAATTTGAGAGTGAATGCTGCTTTTCTGTCACTGCACAAAGGAAAGCATAGCTCGGCTGCCTCACTTCCCAGCAAGCACAAGGGCAGAGGGACAGAAAGGGATGTGAAAAGCCACTTCTCTGGGCCACCACTTCATCAATTGCACTCAGTTACCCTGGATGTCACACAGCCCTCGCTGTGGAGGGCTCTCCGCACTTCACGGATAGAATGTGGGGAAAGCGATCCGAGGCCCCCTTGGAGGAAGGTGGGGTCAACACCCAAAGGAAGAGGGCTTTTGGCTTCTCAACCACTGAGCAGCATTACGGGTAAAACCCCGGGGGGCCTGTGAAGAAATTAAAAGCCTCATTTATTTTGCTGATTCTTCCATACAAACCCACAACGCTCGTGCGTAGACCGAAGCCTGAAATCATAGTAAAGTTCACCAGTGCCCTAGTCTGGACTTGTCAGGATAACCATTATGCACTGGGAGGCATAAATATGTTCTTCGAGTGTTACAGCCTATGCTTCCAAGCTGTCAAAATGTGGAGCCGAGGCCGAATTATATGTTTTTAACTGTATACATCCGTCACTGGCTATCACTCTTCCCACAGACAGGGGAAAGTCAACAAGGAAACATAAAAGCTAAAAATAAATGACTGAGCACTTGCTGGAAGAGCTGCAGGTTGGGCACAGCATGAAATGTACACGCGCTCCTTCCCATTTCTAATTTCTGTCCGCTTAAAGCACTTGAGATTAAGGGCTCAACTGGAAGAACAAAGAAATGCAAGCATGCACTGTATAAATAGATAAGAGTCACTCATAAGGAAAGCTCCATGCTACCACACAATATCAGTGCTCTGGAGGGCGTGCACCCAGGATGCCAGTCATGACAAATAGCTGTTGCGGCAAATGCCAAGAGAAAAGACAGTTGTAGGCACTTCAAATGCTCCAGGACAGATTTCGTTTCATTCCACAAACCCTGCATCTATGTCTTCACTCATTGTAACATACTCATTTCTAATAGCATGTTTAGTCAATATTGATTAAGGATCCATTGTGTGCAATTTATGAAGCTCTAAGGGTTCAAAATCTTACCCCAAATAATCTGGTTTACATGCGAAATACATTCAAAGTGCACAGGTGACTATGTAGAATTGAATATAGAAAAAGCATAATCCACACAGAGGACATAAGATTCAGAAAAAAAAATTCAGTAAATCCATGACTTATTATTTTTGGTTTTCTGCTCATTCAGTAAGAATTCACTCGGTGAAAAGGATAGCACAAACACCATGGAAGCTCCACGTTTGAAATTTCATATATCCCAGAGGAGAAAAACTGTCTCGTGACAGTGGTTTTTGAAGTCGCTTTCAGCTTCAAAAAGATTCATCTAACTAAATACCGTAGGACAACCCCACATATACATGAAATAGAAGAGGTATGTGATGCAAATCTCTTTTCATAAGTGCAGGTTCGGAATGATTAAGTACTTATTAGGTAAATAAATGAGGATTTTTCTGATAAAGAGAAAAATACTAAGTAGGGATTCAGGGATGACAATTGCATTCTCCTATCAACCTCCGAGTCTAATTCATGTCTGTTGTTCGATTTTTGCATCATATTAAGAAATATCATGATGTATAGAAAGGAAGTGGTTGCAAAGTAACATTTAACAGTTTCTTAGCAATCTTGAGCTGCTCTTCAGCAGGTAACAGTGGGGGGAGCTTTGTTTCCTAATCTGAACTAAAACTCAATAATTTAGCACACATTAACTCATCATCACTAGTCTCAACTGTGGTAGCATTTCCCATATAGCACACTTGGCTGGATAGGTAGTTTTGTTTTGAATTTCAGTATTGAAATCCAAATCAAACCTTTAAGAACCCTAACATAGTTCACCACCTAGTACTCATAGGGAACCAGAATTCCGCTTTGAAAGTCTGTCTTTTAAAAGCATGCTCTGATGTGCTGAGTTGGTGTCAGGAGTCAGCAACTCTGGTGACCAGGAAGACGCCTGTTGCGAAACTAGGACTCCAGCAGGGTGTGCCATCTGCTGATTTGCTGCCCTTTGGTTTCCTTCATTTCCTCCCAATGGTCTTGCTCCTCTTCGCCACTGCTGTTTTGCCCCAGAGCAATCCAGCCAATCATCTCTTTACGCTTCATAGTACGCCTGTTGTAAACCGAAATCATCAATGTAACATCAGAGAGCTGGAAGAGGGTCACCTGGAAAATAAAGGTCTCCTGATAGACAGGACTGGGCTGGCCACGTCGAACGGACGTCTTGCAGCGGGACATCTCCTGGCCCACAGAATTGAGCAGAAAGAGCTTGCCATATGTAGCTGAAACAATTAAAAAGACAAGAGGCAAAATATTAGCACTTTCTGTTTTGCTAATCTTGTTGTAATATTGATGCCAGCTGCAAATCTCCAGTTCTCCTTTGAATACACTGATCAGGGTCCTAAGGGCTGGTACTTACTGTTAGACTAAGACATCTTACAGGAATTAATAAGGAGGAGGAGTATTACCTTGCATGCTCAATGTTGTATGTTGCCTGCTATCCAGCATATTACAGACACTCATGAGAACTCCACAAGGGTTTATATATATATATGCCTAAGCATGTATGTAGCAGTATTCATGGACATGCAAGATTGCTTGTCCACGTTTTATTCATGTAACACATAAACATGTACTTTCTGTTTTATGTTGCTTCTCTTTTCAGTCAAAATACCGACGAATGCCTGAATTAAAGTCTCTTCTCTCCTTGCTCTCTGTTCACACTCCAGGCCACCTTCTCGATGCCCACAGATTCACTGACAATTCCCAAATCTATAGCTCCAGCCCAGGACCCAGCTGAATACCAGGAAGCATCTCTTGAACTCCTCGCTCTCAGAATAACACCGCCTACTCCAAAAATGTGCTGCTTCAGCATTCACCATCTCTGTAAATGGCAGCACTGTCTCTCTAATTATACAAGCAAGAAATAAGATCTCATTCTTTGACAAGTCTAACTTCCTCATGCCTAATCCATGCAAACATAAAATTCTCCTAAATAGTTCCCTACTCTGCCTAATTCTTTCCATCCCCACGGCCACTGAACTCTCATAGACACACACTGTAAGTTCAGGGCACTAAGCACCTCATGAGCGCATTACTGCATGAGCGCATTACTGCATCTCCCGGGCACTAGATTGTCCCAACACAGATTTGATCATGTCACTCTCACTAATAGACCAAGACCAAGCTTTCAATGACTTCCTACCCAGTTTCCCCGAAAGTAAAACAGTGTCTTATATTAATGTTTGCTCCCAAAGATGCACTAGGTCTTATTTTCAGAGGATATCTTATTTTTCCATGAAAAAGAATATGGTACACATTTATTGTTTATCGTTTTATTAAAAGAGACCTCTCACTTCCTGTCTGCTCTGGCTGCACTGTGGCCAACAGTGAGCTGCACGGCGGTGCCTGCCGCTACGGTCCAGAGTCCAGAGTTATGGTAGCTTTGGGGGGCCTTATTTTGGGGGAGGTCTTATTTTCAGGGGGATGCCTTATATTTCAGTGAGAGGCAAAACTGTAAGTAGGTCTTATTTTCAGGGGATGTCTTACTTTTGGGGAAACACGGTACTAGTCTCAGGATAAAAGCCACGGAATAAACGATGTAGTCTGTTCCTATTTGCCCTCTAGACCCATTGCTCATGACTGTTGCTTTTATATAGTACAAGCCTATGATTGTCAGCTACCTTGTGCCTCCCTTGCCCTGTACCCTTTCACTTCTGTACATGCTATTACCTTGCCTTAATCAATACCTAGGTCCTGATGCCCCACCTTCACATAACTTCTATACATTAGTTGTGGATTTCATTTTATCTAAAGGCCTTTGCCAAGCATCCCAGCTCTGGCTCAAATAATCCTCTAGTAGGCTCCATCAAAACCCCACTATAACCTATCTGAACATTTGTCATCCAGTTGCCTGTTGACTTGTTCCTAAACTCTCCAATGGTAGGGACTGCCTTTTTTTGACCACTGCATCTCCAATCCTGTACCTGGTGCCTTGCCTGTGATTGTTGTAGTTAGTTGCCATCCAGTTGGTTCTGACCCACAGCAACCTTCTGTATAACAGAACAAAACATTGCCCATCCTCTATGATTGCTGCTGTCATAGGTATATAATCATTTGTCAATTTGAGAGGTTTAAGAGTGAAGGGGTATAGTCTAGCCAATCAATCAGATCATAGCCAATGAGCCCTCTCTGTGGGCAGGGTCTTCTCCTGAGGATTATGGGAACTCCAGTATTCCTCCTTTGAGGTGGGAGACAATCTCTCTCTCTCTGCTCACTCTCTGGGAGACATTGCAACTGACAAGATACATGGAATTACACTAGTGCCCTGAGCTGGAGGAACCACATGAAGACCCCTGCCAGCGCTGAGATGCTTCACTGTCACTGGATCCACAAGACTTTTCACCCACTGGCCTGTGATCTTCCTGCATTTGGCATCATTGCTTGTGTTTCATGAGTCTGAAGAGGAATTTATAGGCTGGACATATGGGCTAATATCAGACTTATGGGCTTGGACTGGACTGGCTGGGATGCTTTCTTAATGTACACTTGCCCTTGTTT